AGACTGATGGGGCCCCGCCCTCTACCAGACTCATTTCCCACAATTCCATGCTCACCAAGGTGGGAGAAGAGAGGTCATGGAGATTGTCACTTGGGTTTTAGATTCTTCTGCCTGGAAATAACTCGCTTCACAACCACTCAGATTTCACTGGCTAAAGCAAGTCGCCAGCAAGGCAGCAAAGACATGTTACTGCCCATGTTCCTGGAAATAGAAAAAGATACTATTTGATGCACATGAATCACATCTAGCATTGTCAACAATTCTTTGGTTCCAAGTCCTTCACTTCTTCCCCTTAGGAAAAATACCCAAAATACCCATCCCATACTTAGCTTAAAGTCTAGATTTTTTAAAGAAAAAAATTTATTGATAGAACAGATTTCAGGTATTTCATTGATACAGTTCTGTTTTTTTTTTTTTTTGTCCCCAGAAACCTTTTATTTAAGGTATACAAAGTTTATGCATTTTATAGGTAAAAATTTAGGAACATAGTGATTCTTTCTACCCTATCTGCCCTTCTACTCTGCTCCCACCCTTATTCCTCCTCTGTCTTCTATTCCCATTCTTATTTCTTACTAAGATCTATTTTCAATTCACTTTATATACATAATATTAACCCTATACTAAGTAAAGAGTTCAACAAATAATATAAAAAAAAAACTGTTCCTCAACAGTTGAGACAAGTGCTGTTCAAAATCATCACATCTCAAAGTGTCATTTTCACTTCTATAGATTACCTTTTAGATACTCTATTAGTTACTGTAGATCAGTGAGAACATATGGTATTTGTCTTTTTGTGACTGGCTTATTTCACTAAGTATAATGCTTTCCATTTGCATCCATTTTGTTGCAAACAACAGGATTTCATTTTTTACCACTGTATAGTATTCCATGTTGTATATATCCCATGATTTCTTTATCATAGATACAATTCTTTTTTTTAAAAGATATATATATATATATATATATATATAATTTGAAAAGCAGAGTTAGAGAGGGACAGAGTCAGTGAAAGAGAAAGAGAGATCATACATCCACTGGTTCACTCCCCAAATGGCTACAACAGCCCGAGTTGAACCCATCTGAAACCAGGAGCCAAAGCTTCTTCCGGGTCTCCCACTTGAGTGCAATTGGGCCATCCTCTGTAGCTTTACCAGGCATACTCTGGATCAAAAGTAGAGCAGCTGGGACTTGAACCAGCACTGCAGCTGGCAGCTTTACCTAATATGCCATGGCGCCAGCCCCTATAGATAGAATCCTAAGAAGATAACCATACTTCCCTCCCTCCCATTCTCTTCCAATCTCTCCCTCCTTCCCTCCCTTCCTTTTCCTTTCCTTTAATTTTTGCAATAACGTACTTAAAATTTACTTTGTAAACACAGGCTTCATGTACCACTAACTATAACGTTCAACAAGTAAAAAGTAGAGAAAGATCACTGTTCCACAGGAATATAGAAAAAAAAGCCATAAACAACAATCAAATCGTAAGATGTCAGTTTGATTCTTATACTTTTTTGTATTCTATATTTGCTACCACATATCAGAGAAAACGTTTTTGTCTTGGGGACTGGCTTATGGATACTATAGTTCATTATATAAGGTCTGAGTAGGTAGAGCGGGAAAAGATCAATAAATACTTGAATTAGGAAAGAGAAATCATGAGAGCTGCATAGGAGTTCTGTTATATAGTAATTCTGAGACCCTGCTTGACTGACTTTGGGCTTCATAGCCAGAACTTGTGGAAGGTCCTTTCATCAAGCCCTGGTTCTGATTTCGGGGAAGGTCTCACTTCTCTTTTACTCTGTGGCCCGTGGCTTCACTCTCAGGAGATTTAAAACTCTTTTCTCCTAATAATCTCTTGGTCACTATGAAATGATATTTATGAATACACCTTTCTTGGGGCTTAGTTCGTGCTTCTAGGCAGTTGAGGAACTGATGGTGGTTGGTTCCTGATTAATTTTGAGAACTCTCTCAAAAGTCCAGCAAACTACTTATCTAAGTCAATTCTTTTGGGATCATAATTCCTAGAACACCTCTATTTCTTTGCTTTTTGATTCTTATGACTTTCTCTCCTTCTCTTGATTAATGGTAGATTACTAAAGTTATATATTCTGATTTTTATTCAATTAATTGAAATTAATTATTCAATTAAAAGGATTTACTAGATGCTTCATTTTGATTCTTGCCCTTAGGAAATTTATTTGGTTGAAAGATTTTGCTGGGAAATTCTCTCTCAAAGTCCTTTTCAATCTTCTGCTTTTGGAGACTGTAAATAGTTGTGTTTTTTCACCCCCAACCTTGCAGGGCTCTGAATTCTGGACTTCATTCCTTTTCATTTCTATTTGTAAACTGGCCAACTCTTCCCTGAGCTTTTATTTTTCTTGTGTTACTTTGCCAAATGCAGAACACACAACTAACAAAGAGGTTTTCTAACCTCTTTCTCCAGAGCTACAAGTTTATTGGGTACAAGATCTGCCCCAAATTACCAGAGGCAATAGTTTTATAAAATGTTTGGCTATTGTATAACATGGATCATCTGTTATCGCCCTTCAGTTTCATGACCTGCCACCTGAACATTGTTACAATGCCATTATCTTACTCTTTTGTTATGGTAGCACCTTACTTTTGGGCATCAATTTCTGTATCTCCAGATATACTGCTATGTCATGGCAGCATAGTTTGATTAGATTTGCCTTGTTTGGAATGAGGGTAAAACCTTCTGAAAATTAGATTTATAAGCTAAATGTGTACATTTATACCATCAATAGCCCCAATAATTTCATGTTATTATCTTAATGGTTAATACATGTGTGTCCATTTTCTTTCCATGACTAGATTTTTGAGCTAATTATGGTAGACTCTAATAGTGGTTCTATTAGCTTTAATAGTAGCCCCCCAAAATATGTAGTATCACTTGAAACACATAGAATAAAAGTCTCATTGATTTCAGTGTTCAACCAGCTTTACTACTTTGGCACATGTAAGGCTGTGTGAAATTCATTCCTAAAACTACAAGTCTTCTGATGTTTCGTTTGGGGAGCCTTTAGGAAGCCTTTGGAATTAATCTAAGGTGGCCTGGTCCCTAGTGTGTTGTGTTGAATGACAGCTCCAGTGTATCGCTGAAGCTCTAACAGCTGGTGACAGCCTGAATCATGAGTGGTGGAGAGCAAGTCAGTGAAGAGCTTCTACCATAGTCAGCTGAGTGCTCATTGTGTCCCCAGCATTGTACATGATTTATATTACAAGAGATGTTCCATACATGTTAGATGAAATAATGATCAGTTATTAGTTTGGCATCCTGATAGATATTTTTACTGTGATGTGTATGGAGGTATGTGTGAAAAACTTTACAACCACTGAATGTAAAAGTCCGTGTTGCTTCCCTCTCTACATAAAGGGCCACTTCATCCTTCCCTTCAATCCTGGGAAGAATTAGTTTTTTGCTGAATTAGTAACTCCTAGTTTGAAGCGATTTGTTTATTCCTTCCTTCAAGAGAAATGGTTTTTCTATGCATTGAGAGATAGTTCTGAATGGGGAAGAGACACTGAAGAAAGGGAGTCACTCAACCCACTTAAGGGGTATATTGGATATTTTTCTTTGGAAGCATGAATGAAATAAGCAAAGCTGAAAGCATGGCTCTTGATTTCATGGAGCTACCTTCACTGTGTATACGGAAGGTCATATCTTGTGAGGCCTTGAAAATTCTTTATGAGATGGGCTTAGGATCATCAGTCTGGCTAGAATGGATTTGCTAGAGAACTTGAGGATGTGTTTGCATAGAAAATACACTGCTATAACGTAGACTGTGTATTTCGGAGTATATATTTAGATAAGGAGGGTAGATAAGATGACCTGGAGATTGCAAAAGTTACCCCAAAACTAAGTCCTTATAGACCCATTCTAAAACACATAATCAAGGGCAAGATAGACTAAACATAAGGGAAAAGGTGATGAGAAAGGGATAAGTCCTGAGAGGATGATTTGAAAAAATTATCTTGGAGTTTAACTTCTGATTGTTTTAGAAGGGAGGTGCAGAGAGGACTCCATAGATAAGGGGAGGATCAATGTGGATGAAAAGACTGTGACTACAGAATGTTGAGTAGTTTTGGCCTCCTAATGAACCCAAGTACAGCTTATTCTTCATTTTCTTCAGTTAAAATAGAGGGAAGTTGTTAAAACGTGTTATGATAGAGGAAAATGACTCTGCTCTGTAGAATGTGCCTTGCCTTTTGAAAAGCATATACCTAGTGTTAACATTTTTTTTAAAAGTAAGTTGCTGGTTGTTTGTAAATATATGAATAAGTATATTAATAAATATATTTAAATATAAATAAATATATATAAATATATGTACCCTGGGGTATAATTCCTGATAGATATCCTATACTTAATTAATTTTTGTTGACCTGAATGTAATTGAGACAAATTAACTTTGTGCAGGTCATTTAAAATTATATGCCAGAGTGTCTAACTTGCTAATTCATTTTGGTTAAAAAAATTATCCTCGAACAGAGATAGTGAAGGTAATGGTCATTGATATGTTGAATGAATAATGATTATTTATTAAGTACTAGTGGGAGTGTAACTGTAGGATTAAAAAAGAATTGGTGCCTGGAGACCATGAAACACCCTAAGGAAATAATTCCTGAATCTCTCACCGATGCCATTCATTTCTTTTGTTTAGTGTTCCTATCCATAAAATAGAGCTAAAGATAATTCCCTAGTTTAATACCAAGGCTTCTGTAAGGATGACTTATCTCCCATTTAAATCATGGTTCATATTGCATGATTGGAAAATAGAGCATGTGGTTCATGACAAGGGTGTTGGCAATCATGACAGTAATTTGTGACATGGTTCATTTCTGTAATAAATCAGTGAAGAATTTCACTATTATTTAGTGCAGTGGGGGTGGAGTGGGGTAGAAGAAAGGGAAGATTTGGTCCTTTTTCCGTCATCTCCTTTTAGGGTCCCCCTTTGCGTCCCCTTCAGGAAGTGGAATAGAAAAAAAGAGTCTGCATTCATCAGTAGCTCTGGGTAAACCACAACTTAAAGACAGTAAGCAGGTCAATCAAAATGAGGACAGTGTTTGCTATAAAACCGACAGGTACTGTCATTGACACACACAGACACACACAGGGAGACAATATCACAGGAGAGCTTCCTGCCTCAAGCAAGCAACCAGAGCAAAATGACAATGAAGATGATGAATGACACAGCCATGGTGAGTAGTAGCAATTCTTATTTAACAACAGTCATCTGGGATTTCAGAAGAGCCAATTCCTAAAGAAGTGGGCTTGATTGGGATCTGGTGGAGGAAAAATTAGAAAAGTTACGGTAGGGTATAAAGCACAGCTCTTTGCCTGGTGATTAGTGCAGTGCTGTTAGCATGTACAGGTCTTGGGACCATAGACACTTGCTATGGTCTCTGCTGTGGCCACCCATTATAGGGTTAGGTTGACCTAAAATTCTTACCCACTGGTAGGAGCCTAGCTTACTGTTTATTGCATATGTGTGTGTGTGTATATATATGTGTGTGTGTGTGTATATATATATATATCTTTTACCTGTGCCCTTTTTTCTCCTTTTACAAGATAAAGGAAATATAAAAGAGCTTAGATTTCATAAGAGGTACATGACACATGACAATGGGGACACTTTTATCTTTATTTGTTATTTTAGAGAGCTTAAGAGATTAAATAAAATACAATACCTAGAATATAGGCTTTGGAGTCAGAGAGATCTGACTTTCCTACTTGCTACTTTTGGATTTCTATACTGTCTAATGACAGATCTGACATGCTTAGTTTTTTAATTAATTTGGCCATTCTAACATACAGCTGGAAAAGATAGAGCATTTAATGTGTTAATTATTTTTTAAAAGGTTTATTTATTTTCTTGAAAAGTAGAGAGATGGGGGAAAGAGAATACAGAGAGAGAAGGAGAGAGAGAGAGAGGGAGGCAGGGAGATCTTCTATTTACTGGTTCATTCTGCAAATGGCTGCAACAACTAGGGCTGGGCCAGGCCAAAGCCAGGAGACTGGAACTCCATCCAGGTCTCCCAAGTTGAGGGGCAGGAGCCATCATCTCCTGCTTTCCCAGACATGTTAGCAGGGAACTGGATTAGAAGTGGGGCAACCAGGATTTGAACTGGCACTCATATGTTATGCCCATGTCACAGAGGCAGCTTAACCTGCTGTGCCACAATGTCAACCCCAGTAAGTGTTAGCTATAACTAGTGATGGTGTTATTATTACCCTTAAAACTCTCATGAACTCAGTGAAAGTGGGGATTATTTTTCCCATTATACAGATGAGCAAAAGCCAAATTAAGTAATTTATTTAATATGACTGGACACTGTAGGCATAAGAACTAGGACATGAACCCAGGTTTTCTGGCTGCAAGTACTATACGCTTCTCTGAGTGGTTAAGAGGCAAGATTTCTGAATTTAATACCATTGCATCCAAGCAAATCTCTTGGGTAGTTTTCTTTTCCAAAGACATTTCCATTTCTGGTTTATCTAAAGAAATCTATTGAGTTGTCAACAAGAAATATGATACTACAAGGGGAATAGGAATAGGGTTAGAAACTGAGAGGTTGGGACTGGCGTTGTGGCATAGCCAGTTAAGCCTCTGCCTGCAACACTGGCATCCCATAATGGGCACTGGTTTTAGACCCAGCTTCTCCACTTCTGAACCAGCTCCCTGATAATGCACCTGAGAAAGCAGCGGGAGATGGCCTGAGTGTGTGGGTCCCTGCACTCTCATGGGAGACCCAGAAGCCAAGGAGACCCAGGCTCCTGGCCTTGACTTGCTCCAGCCCGAGCTGTTGCAGCCATAGAGATATGAGATGTGAAAGTGGTTTCTAAAATATTCTAAGAAGATGAGGCTATTTCAAAGAGTTTACAGAAAAATGAAGTGAAAATATATTTATTTTGCTGCAAAATTTTTTGTCATCCATAAAATTTTTTCAGAATTTTTATTTTCTGTGACCTTTTGGGTCAAAATTAAACTTTATTTTTAATATACTCTATATATTAACTTCCACAAGATCCCACCTATGTTTTTATTTTGAAAAATTTATGCACCAAAATAAACAAATTTTTCATGACTTTTTTTAGGAACCTCATATAAAAATGAATATAATGACCTATTAAAAGCATGGTAGTTATTGCTAATGTACATAACTTCCAAGGTGCAGTTACTTTACCATTTTGATAGTGAAAATTAGAAGTGATTCTGTGAATATCATACAGAAAAGATTAACTTCAGAAACCCAAAGAAGTGATTGATAGGCTTGGGAAGCGATGCAGGGATCCTCTTACCTAAGTTGGTATCCTTTTTCTTTTTACAACAATGTCGTGCTCAGTCAAGACAGAGGTGAATGAGGTAAATCTCACATCTCTCTCATCCATTTTCCAGCCTTATCATAATATTAGCTTCATAATTGCCACCTGTATTGAATACTTGCCACGTGCTGTCAGGGCTTTTCCTGCTTTCTGTGGATCATCTCATCAAATTTTCACACTTTCTGGTGGAGGAAACTGAGTCACAGCTTCTAAGAGTCCTCAACAGGCCCTGGCCATCTGCCTCTAGAGCCCCTGCCCTGAGCCACTAGAGACAAAAACTAGTTGTTAAATGAATCAATGCATGATTGTGCAGCTGAAAGTAGATGAGTGCTGATTATCTGAAGGCAAATCAGTCTCATTCTGGGTTATCTAGGTCAATCTTGCTTTCAGCTTCTTTTGTATCAGCTGCTATGACTTCAAAAATTGATGCCATGACCTTTTGGTTTACTCTGATCACTTTTGTCCCCAATGTCTGCATTATATAAAAAGAAGAAGGCCTCTTCAAGATGTGAATGTGAACAGATTGCTCCCAGAGCTTCAGCTCCTGTTCAGTGTCATCAAGGGCCTTGTCCAGGTGCAGGAAGGTTTAGTAATGATGGTGGGATATATCTTTGGTAGACAGCCAGGTTTTTAGCTCTTCTTTTAGCTAGGTCTTCACAAAGCACTTTGATTCTTTGTGCATTCCTATAGCACCAGATGAACTGATATATCCATATAAGTATAAAAAATATTTTTCTGGGGCCAGCATTGTGGCCTAAGAGGTTAAGTCGCCACCTGCAATGCCAGCAGCCCATATGGGCACTTGTTTGAATTCTGGCTGCTCCATTTCCATTCTAGCTCCCTGCTAATGCACTTGAGAAAGCAGCAGAAGATGGCCCAAGTCCTTGGGCCCCTGCACTCATGTGGGAGGCCTGGGTGAAGCTCCTGGCTTCAGCCTGGTCCAACCCTGGCCGTTATGGCCATTTGGGAAGTGAACCAGAGAATGGAAGTTCACTCTTTCTCTCCCTCTCTCTCTGTAACTCTGCTTTTCAAATAAAAAAAAATCTTAAAAAAATTTTTCCCAGAGTTAAAGAGAAATAGTTTCCATATTCTTTGTTGTGCATCATTAATGCTCCTGCTTCTTTCAATTAGTATGGATAATTAGAACCTTGCTATAGTTGGTTTTGCATAATGTTTCTCTTAACACATTCAACTTAACTATATTACTTAATTTAAAGTATTGTTTTGCTCATTCATTTACTCACCTACTCATTCTTTCAGAAAGTATTTATGTAACACTTGCACTATGCATTTTCTCCCATGGGAACTTAGAATCTAATGGGTATAGATCTGACTTGAACTCAAACAATACATTTCCAGACAATTAAAAAAAAATGCTGTTTGACTGCTAAATGGTAAAAGCTGTATAGTTTTAGGAAAGTAAACTTCTGATTGAACCACTTTAGAGATGTTTCTCAGAGGAGACTACATCTGAGAAGCAGCATAATGGAAGAATGGGGTTTTGATAGACAGAGGTGGGACAGTGTATTTTAGATGGAAGGTAGCTGTAAGGAAGGATTTGTGGACTACAAGGCTGGAAATATAGACAAGAGCTGTTATTTATTAAATCTATTTTTGTTGGAGGATGCTTTACATAGAACATTCTATTTAATCTTGTTAACTTTGTTATAAAATATTATTATCCAGCTGGGAAGCCAGGACAGGATTTAAACCCCAGTCCCAGACTCAGACCCTGACATCTGTCTCCCTGTTTAGGAGCTTTTAGTCTATGGAGGGCTTCAGTCGCCAGGCTGACTTGGTTCTCAGTTTGGTATCCTGATATCTTCAGGCATAACGGTTAACTGTTCTCATTTGTGGATGAGAACCTAGGATCGGGAGAGAAGACCTGATCCCATCCAAGGACTAGAAGTGCTTGGTTTAGCAAGAGCATCTGTTACCTCTTGCCAGCAAGTGGCTCCCATATCTAACCAGCTGCAACCTCCTCTGTTTCCCAGGTCAAGTCTCTGCTGCTGTTGATTTTGGGGCTCACCCTCCTGAGGGAGGGGATGGCTCGGAAAAATCCCAAAGTGGAGGATGCTACCCTCCTAAAGCCTGGGAATTGTCCCCCTCTGGAGGACAACAGTGTGAGAGTTGACATTCGCATCCTCAGTCAAAACCACGGAGTTCCCATCACACATGACTTCCAGAACCGCTCCATCTCCCCCTGGGATTACAAGTAAGTGCAAGGGAGACTGATTTTTCACATTCCTTTGAAAAATAGGTTAGCTTAATCTAATCACAAAGTAGAAAATTTAGAACACAGAGAAATCCCACTTTTTCTGGGTGTTCACATTTTGCTGTTTCAGGTTAGGTCCACCTGTGTGGGTAAAGATCCTGAGATTTTGCTTCCACATTCTCCACTCTTTGCTTTTTCCTGCCTCATGCAGGCCTGGGTAGAAATTTACAAACTTTCTATGTTGGAAGAGGGGACTGTATAAAGCATCACACAAAATTACCTCTGCATAAGGGTAGCAGAAACCTGGGGGGTCTAAGGTTAAGGAGTTTCATCAGATCAGATATTTTCCTTCAAGGAGCAGGGCTCAGGAAGCAGTGGAAGTTAAGGGCTATATTAGGAAGTGGGTGTTGAGTAGGGACTTTCAGAGTATAATCTTGTGGTTTTTGTCTCTAGAGGTTCTTGGCACATCAGACACCCACCTATACCCTCCAAAAGTAAGCCTAAATAGAGATGCTTCTGGGGTTGCCACAAAGCTTCCCCCATGAGGGAAGTGTATATAGTGGCAGGTTGACTGGATTGACTTTTCTGCATTTGTGCCTCCAGTAGAGGAGCCTGTTGAGGGAGAAATTTAATTTTTATTTATGTGTGGGACAGGGAGAGGGAAAGGCATAAGCAGAATGGAATTGGGATCCTGGAACTCAATCTAGTTCTCCTAAGTAGATGGCAAGGACCTAGATACTTGAGCCATCATCTGCTGCCCCCTAAGGTGCACATTAGCAGGAAGCTGGATGGGAAGCAGAGGACCCAGGATCCAACCCAGGTGCTCTGAAATGGGTTGCTGCAGTCCCAAGTGGTATCTCAATCTCCACAACCAAAGCCCTCCCTGAGAGAGAAATTGAGAGAAGGTGCTGATTCACAGTCCTCTGGGCCGTTGATTTTCCTTTCCAAGCAGCAGTCTTGTAGGTTGTTCTTGCCACTAGAGATGTTCAGTCTCTAGGTGAAGGATGAACAACAATTATAATCATAACAATGCAAGTAGAAATAAGTAAAAATCTAAAATTAATTGAATGATTACATAGTATAGTGTGGTTTTTAATGTGCTTTTGTATCACTGAATGTTCCCAGCAGTCCAAGGAGGCAGTGGTATCTGAGAGTCCCCATTTCATAGCTGAGGAAACTAAGGCTTAGGGAGTTCAGCAAAGGCCAGAGGGCTGTGTATGAATCCAAGAGCATCTGGCTCCAGATCCCGTGTCACAGTCTGGGTTACTCCAACTGCCTCCCTCTCAGGCAATGTCCAGTGCAGCAGGCTCCCCTTCTCTGTTGGTTTTCCTCCACTGTCCTCACCCTTCTGCCTTGGCTTCCTCCTGCAGCATCACCCGGGACCCCCATCGGTTCCCCTCGGAGATCGCAGAGGCACGATGCAGGCACTCAGGCTGCATCAACGCCCAGGGGGAGGAAGACAGCTCCATGAACTCCGTTCCCATCCAGCAAGAGTTCCTGGTTCTCCGGAGGGAGCCCCAGGGCTGCTCTCGATCCTTCCGGCTGGAGAAGGTGTGGGTGACCGTTGGCTGCACCTGTGTCACCCCCATCGTCCGCTATGCAGCCTGAGAGCTGCCACCAAGTCAACTGAAGATGCTACAGGAGTGCCATACCTCACCCCAGTGCCCGGCCATGAGTCTTGGTCCCCAATTCCCCCCACTTCCTAGGACCCCCGATAAGACACACATGGAATCCTCAGAGCTCTATATTATAGGATTGATACTCTGGGTGCTTCAGAATTCTTACATAAGCCCAAGAGGTTCATAAGTCCCAACCCCTGAAAATGGATGGCCCTTGGTCCATTCACTCAATGTTGTATTATGGCTGCCTTCTAGTCACCTGATCACCCTGACCCAGTGCCAGTCCCTGGGAGCTCTGCTGGCAAAATGGGCCTGTTTCATGTAGATGGAAATGCTGAAAATATGATCACAGTGTATGGTATATGGAAGGGGTTGTGCAGGGTGGAGTGCGATAGCAAGGATGGGGCTAGGGATCTGGCACATAACTCTAGTAGATAGTTGGCTGTAGAGGGTGAGAAGAGCTACTAGGCACTTATATTTGAAAGGAAATTGTCCTTATATTTATGACCTAATGATTATATAAAATGCTAGAAGAAAAATTAATTTATCCATTACTAATTAATAAAATATTAATAATCATAAATGCTTCAAGTGTTTGTTTCTGTACTCAGGTCTCCCCTAAAGCTGTTGACTTCCTTTGTACTTGTCCTTTGTTTGTCATTTCCTCATCGGAACTCTGGGGTTAGAGTTGATTTATTACTAATAGTGCTTGGGGGTTTGTTTCATGGACAGTCAAGAAAAGGGTACAAATAAAAAGTCCGGTTCCCTGGTAACTCTTCACTGCTTCATCAACCTGCCTACATTGTTTCAAAAAACAAGCACTTATTGGTATTGTGTTAGCCATAGGAGATACAAAGAAAGGCAAGAAATGTATGTGGAAGGGTTCCAGTATTGATAGCAGCCATCCACAGAGGGCCTGGTCAGTGGTCATTTTGATCCTCCTTGTTCTGACTTCTGGGCCCTTTGTAGGGGTCACTGTTGTGTTCTGTCCATTATTTATGTTTCTTGGGGGCACATGAACTCCTGGGTTCTGCTGTTTTTGCTACTCTGGGGAAGCTCAGAGGCGCCCTGTGCCTCTCTGGCTCATGTAGGACACATCACATCTTCTTTACTGCTACCGTGCCACTGGCCCAGAGTTCCTCCACGTTGCTTCTGCCTCCAGGTTACAGAGAAAAGTGGGATATAAATTTTCACTCCCACCTGGGATTTAACAGGAGAATGGCAAGTGGCAGAAGTCTGCCCCTCATTTCTAATTCTTTTATCCAACCTCTTGGTGGGTGTGGGAATGGGAGTGTGATCCTTCATGTCTTTGTTCCAGAGTATTTTGCATTAAGTATACATACTGGCTTTTCTGTTTAAAATGTTTAGGTTCCTGACACCCATTATAGTCTTTCTGTCATAGCTCTTAGCTTTGGAAGTTTGTTGTGACTCTCACCTATTTTGATGCTCAGATTCGTACAATCACTCTTCCTGTCTCTGTTCACTTTGGCAGTTATAACTCTGCTAAAGTTCTTGCATATAGAAAGCCTTTTGTCTGAGTAGTAGGGGTAGTATAGAGAGAAAGGAAATGGCAAGGGAAAAAATATAGCCCTGATATTCAAGATAGTTTTTCCCTACACGTATACAGATTTAATGTCAAGGCAGTGTGCTAAACACTGTGGTCAGAGTTCAGATTGTTAGATGACAGCTAGAGAATGACAGCTTACTGGAAAATTTCAGAAAAGCTAAGACTTGTCTGAGATGAATGTGAAAGATGAAAGAAAGTCATTCCTAGCAAAGGGAACAGCATAAGCAAAGGCAGGAGGTACAAAAAGAAGCCTGTTATGTTAGGGGAATAACAAATAGTTCCATGTGCCTGGGGTAGTGTGGGGCAGAGCGCATGGGACAGAATAGGGAGCACATAGCAAACATTTGTGGGATGAATAATGAGTTAACATGTCTACAGGCCTAAGAACTGCTTGCAAATGGGTCATTTGTGGATGGTTTTCTATGCTCTATTACAGAAGTGACAAGAGCATAACCATATTTCAGAAGATAAGATTGGTGACAGTATACAAAAGGGATCAGATATCTGAAGGGCAATAAAAAATTACAGAGAGGGCAGTGTTTTCCAAAGGTAAACTAGCATTGTTAGAGCTGGAAAGATCCTTGTAGAGCATCTGTTCACGTTTCTCATATGCAGATACAGCTGAGAGGAATTAGGTGGCTTGCTCAAAGCTCCTGGGGTAGTTAGTGACAGACACAGGTTAACCAACTCCAAGTTCATGACTTTTCATATGGGTTTTGCAGCTACATAATAGGTGTCCAGTAAAGACCCATTTCTACTGTTTCTCTATGTGGCCAAGGGCTGGCTCTGGGAGAGGGGACAGAGGTACTTCCACATCCAACATCTCCAAATATATTGTGCAGGGTGCTCTGTGTCACAAATTCTCTTTTTCACTAGGGTTGAGGGCTGGCTTTTATTCAGAAAACTGCAGGTCCTCTCCTGCTCACAAGGTGGCATACTGCACCCCTTTGTTCCTAGACTCCTCATCTTAGGGTAAATGGAAATAAATGGGTGCTTTGTGATGGGAGAATCTGTTCGTTTCAGTGAATCAAGACATGCTGAGGCAGATGAACAGGCTGTGTTCTTCAGTTCCTTGTCCAGCTGTCTGGGACTCAAAGTCTCTTGTTTTTCCTGTACAAGAAATGGTCCAAGTTGAATAGTTCATATGTGCAAGTACAATGTTATCATCATATAATATGTAATTTAATAGAATTTTTCAAAATGTTAATGACTTAATATGTGCTCAGGAAATAGGAGGCTTAGTATCTTGTCATTATCTCAAGAGACGCAAAATAGATTGTTTCCCATTTTGTTTGGCTCAAGGAAACTCAGGATTAAATTCTGCTTAAACACTACAGATGTATTATTTCTCATGGTTATCAAATGTACTTTCTCTACTTGATTTTTATACACTTGCACATATATAATGGGCTTAATATAGTTTAAGCAAAGAATCTATGGGACGTTTGTAAAAGGGGGCTGGTGCTGTGGTGCAGCAGGTAAAGCTGCCACTTGCGGTGCTGGCATCTCAAATGGGTGCCAGTTTGTGTCTTGGCTGCTCTACTTCTGATCCAGTTCCCTGGTAATGTGCCTGGGAAAACAGCAGAAGATGGCCCAGGTTCTTGGGACACTGCCACCTACGTGGGTGACTCAGAAGAAGCTTCTGGCTCCTGGCTTCAGCCTGGCCCAGTTCTAGCCATTTTGACCATCTGAGATGTGAACAAGTAGATGGAAGATTTCTCTCTCTTCCTCTATCTCTCCTCTTGCTGTAACTCTAACTTTCAAATAAATAATTTTTTTAAAATGTTTCTAAAAAATTGAAATTAAAAGATAATTTTGGTATAACTTTTTTTGAAATTTATGCATAATTTTTGCATAATACCCATTTTCCATGAACATTTTGAATATCCTTCTTATGCATGAATTTCAAAAATTTTTGGACCAAAATAAACTTACCTTTTACACTAATTAATTGTACGTATTGGAAAGGCAGAGATAAACAGATAAATAGATTAAGAAAGAGAGAGAGAGAGAGAAGAGAAAGAGAGAGAAGGAAAGAAAGAGAAAGAGAGAAAGAAAGAAAGAGAAAGAGAGGAAGAATAGAAAGAAAAGAAAGAAAGAACCTACCATCCACTGGTTTACTCCTCATATGCGTATAACAGCCAGAGTTGGACCAGGTTGAAGCCGAGAACCAGGAACTCAATCCGGCATCCTAGGTGGCCCACATGGGTTGCAGGGATCCAACTACTTGAGCCATCACCTGCTGCCTCTCACAGTGTACATTAGCAGTAAGCTGGAATCCAGAGCAAAGCTAGGGCTCAAACCAGGCACTCTGATGTGGGATGCAGATGTGCCAAGCACTGTCTTTTTTATTTTATTTTATTTTATTTATTTTTTTATTTAATGAGCATAAATTTCCAAAGTACAGCTTATGGATTACAATAGCTTCCTCCCCCCTGTAACTTCCCTCCCACCCACAACGCTCCCCTCTCCCTCTCCCTCTCCCCTTCCCCTTCACATCACGATTAATTTTCAATTATCTTTATATACAGAAGATCAATTTAGCGTATGTTAAGTAAAGATTTCCACATTTTGCTCCCACACAGAAACACAAAGTGTAAAATACTATTTGAATACTAGTTATAGCATTAATTAAACACCTAAGAGTAATTGTGTATTAATTACAGAGTTCAACCAATAGTTTTAAGTAGAATATAAAATGCATCTTTTGTATTGTTGTGGCTCCCCCCCCCCCGACCTCCCTCCCTCCTGTGGCCCTCCCCTCACCCACTCCCTCTCCCATCCTGCCCTTCATCACGTTTCATTTTCAATTACCTTCATATACTGAAGATCAACTTAGTATATACTAAGCAGGGATTCAACAGGTGCACTCACACAACCGAACCAGGTATAGGGTATGTTCGACTAGTAGTGTTGTTTTTGAGTTTCATAGTTAAACATATTAAGGACAGAGATCCTGCGTGGGGAGCATGAACCCAGTGACTCCTGTTGTTGATTTAACAATTGGCACTCTTATTTATGATGTCAGCAATCACCTGAGACTCTTGCTATGAGCTGTCTAGGCTATGGAAGCCCCTTGAGTTCACAACTCTGAATTTGTTTAGGCAAGGCCATATCACAGTGGAGGTTCCTTCCTCCCTTCAGAGAAAGGCGCCTCTCTCCTTGATGGCCTGATCCTTCTGCTGGGGTGTTGTTCACCAGGATCTTTCATTTAGATTGTTTTTTGCCACCGTGTCATGGCTTTCCATGCCTGCGAGACTCTCATGGACCTTTTAGTCAGATCCGAATGTCCCAAGGGTTGATTCTGAGGCAGGACAAGCACTGTCTTAATTGCTACACAAAATGCCCACCTCCATTTTCCAAGAACTTTTTGAAGTGTCCTCATATATGCTAAATGTACAGATCCCTTGTTTAAACTGCGTGTCCACTGTGGGAGTCAAGAAAGTTATAGATTTAACTCATTTGAAAATTCCCTTTTGGCTCAAATGTTCATTTTAACCTACTCCAGTTGTATAATGGGAAGAAAAGCCTGTTTGACTTAGTACTTTAGGGGAGTGATAAAAGTTGATCTGGGTCAGTATGTACTTGACAACTTGTGACTTACTGTGTCTTTCAGGCAGCCAGTTAGTTGGTACTGATTCCGAGAATTTTGCTTTGTATTGAAGAAGAAACTATTTAATTATTAAAAGAATGACCACAATTTGAGCATTAAGTTGTTGCTGTCTACAAAATGCTTAGCCCTTCTCTTGGGCCATGCACACCTCACAGTATGATGAGTAATTGTAGACATTGTGGCCAGATGCCAGGTTAATATGGCAGCTCTGGAACTTATTGATTGTGTCTACTACTAATCATTGTGGGCAATTCACCTCAATTCTGGTTGTTTCCTTTTCCTCAATTGTAAAATGAGGGTTATAGTACTTACTTTATAGAATTGTTGAGAGTATAGAATAAGGAAATACTTGTCCATACAAGGT